TATTAGAAATAATTTTCGCGGGGCTAAAACCCTAACCCTTACCACAAACCCTAACCTTCTCTATTTATCCTGTAAGTGTAATCAGTCGGCCTATCGTTTGTTTTTCAGCAAACTTTCAAGTAGTTACTAAAATTTACATACACAATACCAAAAAACCTGCAATTGAATGCTTTTAGAAAAATATTAACGCCAATCCTAAGCATAACCTCACCCTAGCCTTAACCCTAATTTTAACACCAAACCCCGCTACCGCTAAGTATAACTTTACCCTTGCCCTAACCCTGCTTGTAACACTAAACCCCTCTGACCCGAAGCAAACCTAACCCTAACCAGATAGTGGGCTCCTGCACTAACCCTATCCTCAACCCTAATTTAAACCCTTTACCTTAGCTTAGGATTGGTTTAGGGTTTGGGTCAGGGTTAGGTTTAGGATAGTATAGAGTTAAAGCGAGCACAGGACGAAATAGCATGATTCAGTAATTTGGAAAAATGAAACTCTATGTTTCCACGTTATTCACTTCTTCCTTGGACCGGTCATGTTTCCGTTATGATTCCTGAATGGAAACATGACGACATGTTTCCGTTGCATCTCTGTCAACGGAATATTATCGTCGCCTGTTTCCGTTACGTTTCTTTGTGCGGATTCAAACTTTTATCGTCAAGTAAAACATATATATAAAGTGCTGTACAATTCTTTCACCACGTTACCATGAAGTCGCGATCGTTCGAGGACAACAAAGGTGAATTGACGTGAATTAGGTGTGTGCGTTCGTAAGAATTATGTGAAGTCCTAGAAGTTTCGGTGTTTTACACTGAGCTATGTGCATGTTAATTTTGGAACTCTTTCGAAAACTTGCAAAATTGAATCTTTTAAACTTACTCTGTACTTAGATTTTTAAGCAGCTGGATCATTTGAGCCAGTTTAGTCACTCAAACCAGCAATACAATACTTAGCTAACTGGATAGTTTTAGGGTTAGGGTTAGGATTTTCAAGAAGTTGTGTGTGAAGTTTGTGAAGCTTCTGTTGTGTGGATGTTGTGATACATAGAGTTTAGTAGAGTGTAGGTTTTAGCAGTATTTGCCAGTGTTGACATATTTATGAAATTATTGTTCCAAAGTGCGGGTCACTGTTGAGAACCCAAGAAAATAATAAGAAAGTCGCGGAAGGATTAGTGGTATAAATAAGTCCAACTCTGAGTCAATGCCAAACCACAAGAAAGTTGTGAAGCTCGCGCCATTTAAAAAAAAAAAAAGAAAAACTGAGGTTCGAAATATGGGTCGATGCTGGCATCCTATGAAAATCATGGGAAAGTCGGAGATTGGTCATAGTACAAATCAATGCCACTTTCCCATGAAAATCAAGAAAGCTGTGGAAACTAGTCAATATATCGGCTAGAATGGAAATCTTCAATAAAACTCATATCTAATAAGGATGTGTAAAATGGCCAATATCGCTCTTAGCAGATACTGGTTTGCCGTGTTTTGGGAGTTATTTTGGCGAATATGATTAAAATCAAATCTGTGTAAAAACATTAAAATCAACGAGTTATTGAGGTAGCAGATACTGGTTTGCCGTGTTTTGGCAGTTATTTTGGCGAATATGATTAAAATCAAATCTGTGTAAAAACATTAAAATCAACGAGTTATTGAGGTTCGTCAAAATAGGGAGGGTCCTCTTAGTCTAGAGAAAAACTTCTGCCTTATAAATTGATATTGCTGGGCGGCATATCGAAAAGGAACACTAAACTACGCCTTTCTCACAGCTTTTTTCCCCTTTACCACCTTTGTTCATTCAAGGTATCTAAAGCAACGTTTTAAGATTTTATGGCGATCTTGTGAAAAACATGTAGTTCCAGCAAGTTTTGAGAGTTTTGGCAGTTATACAAAAAGTGGGTAAAATCAGCCCAGTTTGTAGTGTTTCTTGCGGTTTTTACGCGTTTTTTTACGCGTTTTAGATTTGTATCCCTATTTTGCTAAAGACATCGTGTGTGTTTTGAACGTGAAATAAGCTGATTTTTTTGCAAACAAAAAAAAAACAAACAGAAAACCTGTTTTTCAGTTAGAATTGAGCGCTTTTGTCAACTTTTGCGTACAATTTGGCAAAAACTCGTGCGTTTCTGCCGGATTTTGGTGTTTTTAGATAGATTTCATTGCAATTTTGCGAAATAGATGTAGTCTCAGCTAGTTTGCAGCGTTTTGGGATTGAGACCGGCAAGAGTGATGGTAAACACTCTTAGCAGAGATCATTGTGCAAGCAGATATTAAGATTTAACCTGTAAAGACAATAAATCAATTGAACACAACAAAAAGGAAACTTGATAAAAAAAGAAGAATAATGGCGGGGAGAGAAGAGGGCTGCACTAAAGATTATGTTCTTGTTCTTGAAGCTGAAAATTAACAAGGTTCCTGTAAATTAAGTTTACATGACAACCTAACAATTTGTGAAAATCACACAAATCCCAAGCTATATCCAGGGTTTTCTATTCATAAAATCAAATCTAAAGCAAATTGGGATTTCACCTCAGTGCTTTTTTTTTTGACTGTTTATGTATATTAGTAATGTATAAATAATGCTCCCATGACTCTCCCCAAAATGTTCAGAACAGATGCAAACTCTTAAGAATGATCAAGGTTTACCATAGTATTAAAAATTTGTACATCTTGAATTACCAAGTTATCACAGAGGATTTCTAGGTACTTTAACCTGTTTAACACCCTAAAAGAAGTGCACATACAAACTACACACAATTAGCCCAGTCAAAATGTGCCACAGCCGACAATTTGGCCGCCTGCCACGGTATAGCTGCCACTAACTTCACACTTGTCAGACTTCCATTCAGGACAAGGTTTGGCCTCTGCTGCCTATTACTATCACCAACCTTCCTTCCACTCAAAACATTTTGACTGGGATTATACATATGTGTGAGATTAGGTTACATGAGTGAACCTGCGCTATTGAAAGAGGTCAATGAATTATAACTCAATGAAACATTGATAAATAAAATAAATAAATAAATAAAAATGACAAAAATTAACTGAAACTAACAGCAGACAGTACTCTTTCACCCTTCTAGGCCTGATCAGTGCAGTGATCTTTGATTAAGTGCTTAATTTGGACATAAAACTGAAACTTGGTATAGTTAAATATTATTATTTTTCTTTTAATATTCCTATTCCAGCTGATGTATATTATTTGAATTACAAGTCTTATTAGCATATCAAAATCACCTACGGACAAGGAATACACTTTGTACCAAAATTGCTTCGCATCAAGTACATCATCTAGTACATCATTACCATCTTCAGGTATTTCTAACTTACTTGTGAAATCCCACAAATCATGAGCTATATACAGCATACAATCAGCAGCAAATTATTAGAAAGGAATGCAGTAATCTTTAATAATAAGATTACTTAGTAGCTAAATAACAACTAGCCCAGTCAAAATGTGCCGGTAGCCGGGGATTTGTTTCTCAATAAAATTAGCTAAAATAGCCAATCTTGAGTTTTACTGCTCACTCAAAATGGGCTGGTGGCCTGCAATTTGGCCGCCTACAATGAAGTACCTTCTGCTGACTTCACACTTTTCAGACTGCCTTTCAGGAAGAGGTTTGGCCTCTGCTGCCTATAATTACGACAGTCAGTTTGTCTACTACTCAAAAACATTTCAACTGGGCTGTGCAAGTGTTACTAGCATATAAAAAGCACCTTTAGGTAGATTAGAGCAAAGCAGCCTTTGTACCAAAATGCTCTGCATTAAGACATCATTACCCTCTTCAGGTAGTTCTAGTTTACTTGTGAAAATCCCACAAATTACAAGCTATATTACATCATACATTCAAGTTGACAAAGCAATCAGGGGTAAATTTTTCATAATAGGATGCAATGATCTTCAGTATCAAGATTATTTGGTACCTAAATAGTAAAATGTTCGAGAGAAGAAATAACCGTAAACATTTTTTCTTTTTCGTCAGCATCGACTTCCAAATAATAAAGGATAATGACCACCTAAAACAAAGAAGAAATAAATCATATTAGTGATTTCACAAGGCTTCAATACGAAACAAGTATGTATATTTTTATTTCCTACGACTTAAAAGTGGCAGGAATAGCTGAAATGGCCTTCACGTGAACACAACATAATCCTCTGCGTGTATAACCATGTAAAACTATTTATTTGTAGCCGAAATTACATCCCAAATGTCATGATATTTGAATGAAACTCAGCTTACCCATCTTTCGTTTAGACTTCGAAACTTGCTGCTTTTTTACCACCGTTTCAATGTTTTCTTGTTGTTAAAAAGGTGGTAGAGCCATTACAGATAGTGATTTTTTTTACTTGAGAACCAGATCACAACACCCAAGCCTTTTCAAGCTAAAATATTAAACTACTGAGATTTCCTTCGCCGCCGTAAGCCGCCATTTTATCTTTCTCTGTATACTAGTTCCCAAGCTTCGAGCCCGAGGGTCTCACACAAGCCATGAAATAATGCTATTCATTATTTCGGGACCAATTAAGAAGTGACGATAATCATTATTTCGGTCTCGAGATCATGCTGGGTGAGCACAAGTGAATGGTTACTAAGTTACAGTTTCGACAAAATTTTTGAAATAAATAGTTGAAGATAAGCGTTGGGCTGTTGCACCTCAGCCACTTTTAGTTGCCTCTTACCTTCACCATACCGTTCATACTAAACCCACAGGTAAGGTATTTTTGCTCATTTCATTCTAATAAATCAATTATAACCCAGTCATTCGACTGATTTCGAATATCGAACTTCGACAGAAATTGAAAAAAATTTATAAGGTATTGTTTGCTTACCACATTTTGAATTCAAACTTAGAAGATGTGGTGGAACCGGTAAACAGAAACGTTTACCGATCGCACGACTCCGGGTTTCTATTTTTCACGAAGGCAACAGGCTCAATTTCGCAAACATTGTACATCCAGCCCCATCAAGCAAAGTGCGTTCAAAGTTGCCATGGTCTCCGACCTAATTGATAAGTGGGTTACCACAAGTGTTCTTCAACTTAGTATCGGAGAAATATTAAAGCTATAGCCGGAGAGAAAGAGATCAGGAACCAGCTGTGGCGAAAACGAAGACCCCCGAAAACAAAGACCCCTTCATGGTTGGTATAATGCTTTACTGCTTCACCAAAGAAAACTAATGAAAAGATTGACAACTTCTCTGTTCGCAGCGTGGGGCAGCATGATCATTCATCATATACACGAGAGCGAAATTGCCGTAAATTACACTTTGAAACGCTAATCGGAGTTCGGTTTTTTCTATTTTCTTTTCTCTTTTGTTGATTTCTTAATGTACCTTCAGGAAAAATAGAGCCCTCAAAATTTCCCTGCCGTCATTTATCTATAAACCGATCAGTGTTTGCTGATGTGCGCAGTGTCTGCACTGTTCCAGTTGCCAAAGCTTCGTTCATGTAGGCGCCGATAACGGCTGCACGCGCTTAGAGTTCGCCTCGTAATTTCAACTAAAATCTCCACTCCAGTCTTTTCCACAAGCCACATCTCACGATAAATGATTTCTGGAACGTATGTGCGCCCTTTCTGTTCGTATGTAGTCCGTTTTGAGCTCCATTTTGGAGTAATTTTCATCGCAATCCTTGGAACCGCTCAAGCATCACAACCCTCGCAGAGTCAACGGAGCGGAGTTACATCTCTTCACGGATTCTTTTCTAACGAAGTGACTCACTCTTTCCCCTTTACGATGGCCGTAGGCTATCCGAAGAGAGGGAGAAGAGCTAGCGTGAAGACAAGAGCCGAAGAAGCTAGGAAACAGTTTAACATTCCTATGATTTCGTCACCATGTTTTCAGTATGCAAATCTGCACCTAACGCGAGGAGTGAATTTTAACAACCTTGTCGCAGTTTCCAAGACGAAACCTAGCCATCAAAACCGAGCGTCAGTCCATTTCGTCCTTAGAGTAATGCTAGCGAATACTATGTCCTTAGTTCCGAAGCTAGATAAGGTTAAAGAAATCTTATTACGGCTAAACGTCCAGGTCGGATGCATCGTGGAATCTTGGCTGAAACAACATATTAATGACTCTGTTGTAAACACTGACGGTTATAATATCGTCCAGAAAGATCGATCCTCTCACGAACATGGCGGCGTATGTATATACATTCAAGATCATATCAAGTTCGAAATCCCCGAAAATTTACAATGCTGCAACGATCACGAAATAATATGGCTGAAGCTTAATCCACCAAGAACCCCTCGCGGGTTTTCGTGTATAATATTTGGCCTTGTTTACTACCCCGGTCGGACCAGTCCCGCCGAATCCGATCCCCATATCCTGAATGACCATTCCTCGAAAGTCTAACTTTGGCAGAAGCTGCACTTCCCAACTGTGGGATTATTCTCACAGGAGATTTCAACCGTCTCAATACAAGCCGCCTGCAAAAACATTTCAAGCTCTTTCAGGTATGCACAGAAAAAGGACAAATGATGGTAACCTTTTTTCTTTTATTTTTTTTGGCAACAGTATTAACACAAGTGATTAGTGCTATATCTCATTTGAAAGAGGACAAAATTAGCTCTTCAGAAAAAATATATTTAGCCTCCAAAAATTCATGGATTTTAAATCATGCTAAGAAAATGGCATACAATGTGCATAAATTATTGTACAACTTTTGACTTTGAAACAGCCTGAGCCTGAATGGATTGGAGTAAAAAAGGAAACATTTCTAAGATAAAATATTCCTTATCTTATGGGCAAGAAATCCAGAGAATCTGGCTGAAAAAGAACAAATATGGAATTAATTAGAATTTTTTTCCAAACTGTACCCCAAAACCATAAAAATTGACCCAGATTATTGAAAAATTTATTCCTCACCAAGTATTTACACAAGGGAAGTAAGCTATACCTCACTTGAAACAGCAGTAAATAAGCTTTCCTGAAATGCATGTTTCCTCTCCAAGAAAAAGGAAACAACTCATTGAATGCTTTCAAACTAACATTAATTAGCATAAAATATCATCTAAATTTGAACTGTGAATTAAGTGATACCCAAATAATACAAAGTAATAAGGCAAAAATTAACTTAAGAGGTTCCTTGTTATATGGGCAACATCTCCATAAAAAATTGGTTGAAAGATAACAAATCTGAGACGTGTTACACATATCTTGTCAACACTAATTAGTCTGACCTCATCATGACCCCAAGCCCAAATTTACTAATCCCTCTTGAAGTCTACAGTGCAATCATTGGAACTATATTTCTTTGTTTGACTTCTGAAATTTTGCCTTGAAACAGGGACAAATGAGATAATCAACCTCAAAATACATAAAGCGCAACATATATCAAAAGATTTTCACTTGCAATGCACCACCAGTATTTTCAAGAGTAAACAATTCAGAAGTGAAATGCCCAAATTTACTAATCCCTCTTGAAGTCTACAGTGCAACCATTGAAACTATAGTTCTTTGTTTGAAGATTGACATACTGACTAATTAGTCTGACCTTATCTTATCATCACCCCAAGCCCAAATTTACTAATCCCTCTTGAAGTCTACAGTGCAACCATTGGAACTATATTTCTTTGTTTGACTTCTGAAATTTTGCCTTGAAACAGGGACAAATGAGATAATCAACCTCAAAATACATAAAGCGCAACATATATCAAAAGCCTTTCACTTGCAATGCACCACCAGTATTTTCAAGAGTAAACAATTCAGAAGTGAAACCGGAAACTGTCATTTTATATCATTCCACTCATTCTCGAGCATAATTTGTTTTTTTTGAGAATTTTTAGCGTGTAACAAGTAGAACCACATCTAAAAAACATACAAAACATACAAGATAATGTACAGGTCGATCTATATACAACTATCGTTTTGAAATAAAGGATTTGTTTTGATTTAGTTCGGACGCGCACTGCGTCATGCGATCGATCTGTCATCGGCTGATAATTTAGGTCGTTGCGTTGTCAAATTCCATTGAAGATTATTTACTCTGTCGCTCCAAAATCATGTTTGATCACAATATATATTGCTTTACATTCACAAATATACATCTACAGGTCTATCTCAAGGCAAAAAACAAGGATTCGAGCGAGAAAAGTAAAAGTAAATTCAATTTTACGCTGTTTCAACATCACGTGCGTCACGCATTTAAATATCGCAAGAATGTTTATAGATTACTTACCTCGATTCTTCGCTAGGATTTTCCAGTTTTCTGTCTAGTTCAGATTCCTCACCACTAGACATACCACCATGCTCACTTCCATCGTCAAAAATGATGTCTAAAGCCTCAGCTACGCTGTATCTCTGGCGCTTCGCACCAGACGCCATTATCGCAGATTGAAGTCGTACGAAAATGATTTCCGGAAAGGGCTCCAAAGGTCAATTTTGATAGTTCGGAGCTAACATTTGCTATGTGATTGGCTTAGAATGTTTACTTGCCACAGTCGGAATTTCAGAGCGATCGGACGTAATACGAGCATTTCCGAAAAGGTTTACGTCATCGTGCAATTTTGCACGATCTGCCAAAGGCCTGACCGGAAAGAGTTTCAACTCGTGAAATTCCCTACGAGAGGGAACGCAACGCTTGATCTATTTTTAATTAACATGGGTGATCATTTTG